ATGAAATCTGCTCTGTTTTATGAGTATATCGCCAATATATTTAATAAATATCTGGTAGAGAACAACATTGAAAAGCCAGTAATACTCTTTGTCGACGGTCATAAGACTCATCTGACTTTGCAAATAAGTGAGTTATGTAATCAATTGGGTATTATACTTGTAGCACTATATCCGAATGCCACTAGATTATTGCAACCTGCGGATGTAGCAGCATTTAAGCCTTTAAAGTCAGGCTGGCAAAAAGGAATTCTAGAGTGGAAACGAGAGCATCCAAATTTACAGTTTACAAAGGAAAACTTTGCTCCGTTGCTTAGTAAGGTAGTAGACAATTTTGTACAAAAGACCACACTAATCAACGGATTTAAAGCAACTGGACTATTTCCTTGGGATTGTAACACTATTGATTACTCCAAATGTCTAGGTGGTATTAGTGGAACTATTAACATTGTTGAGAGGCCAGACAAAAGTAACGGAGAGCAACTAATTGAAACCAAAGTAATGGATTTCAAAACATTCAAACAAATAATTGGACATAATGCGTCAAATCTTCTGGAATCTGGAAATGAACTTACTGGAAGCAGTGAAGCTGAATCTCTAAATAGATTATGGCGATTCTTCACAGGTGATGATGATAAATATGATATCGAAAATTTACCAATGGATATTTTGGAAAATGATAAAAATACTGGTGATAAAGTGATTTCTCCATTAGATAAAACAAATTTACAGCTCAATATATTTAGTCAAACGAACAGTTTTACTACAGGTATTGAAAACCAGGAAGTGGTACCAATGGATATTTTGGAAGATGATAGAAGTAATAGTGACGAAGTAACATATCCATTAACTGAAACAAATTTACAGCTAAATATATTTAGTCAACCGAACAGATTAAAAGATATTGAAGACCAAGACGTGGCAGATGCATTGAATAATTATGACGCCAATGTTGAAATTGTATTAAAGAACGAGTCTGAAAATGGTAACAGAGAACATGACAATTCAGCAATATCGCAAATACTGTACTGGCCCGAATCACCAAAAAGAAAAAATAAAAGAAATGTGGAACGCTTACCATTTGTTGTAACATCAAACACTTGGAAAAGTATCACAGAGGATAAATTAGGTAAAAAAAAACTAGTTGAAGAGGAGAAAGCAAAGAGAAAGAAGGAAAGAGAAGAAAAAAAGGTGGCTAAAAAGAATGCGGTACAAAAGAAACGGCCACAAAGGAAAGGTAAATTAACCAAATTGCCTGCAAAGAAAATAAACATCATACAGGATATACAAATTTTAAAGCCTCTTACCAACACTATGGAAATATCAAACAATAACCCTACAATTGAAACTAAAGTTGAGACGCTGTGTGATCCACAACATTCAAAAAATGATTTATTAAGTCCTATTTTTGAACCGAAGCCGACACATTCGAAACCAGTGGCGGATCCACCTAAATCGTTAAGTCCTGTTTCTAAAACAAAACAGACCTATTCTAAAACAACTGTCGATACATTTATTAAAACGAAATTTGTTTGCAAAGGAATATGCTATGGTTGCACATTTAACATAACTGTGGAGAAAATGGGCCGAAAATGTTCCGGATGTGTCCGAACTTTTCACTTTGGATGTAATAAGAAAAGCAACTCTTTCAAGGAAAATTTTCTGTGTAATCAATGTTCAGAATAGATATTACAAATTTAGAATACCTAAGTATCATAGGTATAACTTGTTTGATATTCTTTGTTTATAAATACTTATGTAGGGCACGTATTTTACTATATTTTATGTTTTCTTTATATATTTAGTAATAAGGACCTAATAAACAATTTATTGTTTCTATTGTATTGTTAGTTATAGAATAAGTAGCTACTTACTACCTATATTTGTAAGGGTGCCAATGACTATGAACGCAGAGTGACGATGACCGTAGACGCAGTGCCAACGACTATGAAATCCAGTCATTTCATTTTATTACTTAAATATTTAATACTAAACTGATATATACATAGTATATCGTATTGATAAAATAAAGTTTGAATTTTGTACTATCTAATCCATTAAGAGCTTATGCACATAAGTAGTTTATAAGTTAACTAACAAATAATGAAATAAGACAAGAGACAATAGTGCCAACGACTGTCGCCTTTACCCTACGTGCTAAATTTTGTAAATGTTGACTAACTTTCAAATAATGTGATATATCAATCTATAGAATCATATGAAATTTTCCAATTAATAAAAGAACCAACCAGAATTACTCCTACATCACAAACCTTACTCGACGTTGTCGCATGTTCTGGTACGATAGATCACGATATTTCTGGTCACAGAGGAGTGTATTGCAGTCTAAATTTATTAATTGTTATTAAGAAAGAGTTCGAAGGTAATAAAATATAGATCTTACAAATATTTTTCACATGATAGTTTTAATAGAGATTTTAAAAATATATGAAAACGATATTAAAAACAAGATAAAATTATTTAATACCTACCTTCTCTTTTTATTTGATAAACATGCGCCGTACGTGGAATCTAGAAATACAAATTCTTTTGCACCTTGGCTAACTTCTATAATACATGACATGATGAAAATAAGTGATCAGGCAGTTTCTAAATATAGAAAGTCTAAAAACATATCTGACTACATTTACTCTAAACATTTTCGAAATACTGTTACTTTGGCTATTAGAAAAGAAAAATCTGCGTATCTCGCTCACCATTTAAATCCGGTAGCTCCAAACAATTTTGGAGAAAATTAAATTCTTTAAAGCTGTAACTGAAATTTCTAAGTCTTTAAAAAATACTACTGAGATAAACAAATATTTTTTTATCGGTTTTTTCCTTAACCACTCATTATTATAACTCATTTAAAATTAAACCTGATACACGTTTTTCTTTTCGCCTTACTACTGTTGACGAAGTAAGACAAATTATTATTAATCTCAAATCAAATGCAGTTGGTAGTGATGGTACATCCGTTAAAATGCTACAATTTGTTTAAATGTTATAGCACCTTTTCTGACATACATCGTAAATTGTTGTTTAGAACGTGGTTATTTCCCTGATATTTGGAAATTTGTTTTAGTGAAACCCTTACCTAAAATTCAAAATCCTGAAAGTTTTAGCGATCTGCGTCCTATAAGTATTCTTCCAAAATTCTCAAAAATTCTTGAAAAACCTATTAGTAAGCAAGTGTACATTTTTACAAATGGTGTTATTGGTAATACTCAGTCTGGCTTCAGAAAGGGATTTAGTACAACTACCCTTTTATTAAATGCCAGTGATCACATAATAAAATCCCTTGATGTAGTGCTGACTACAGTATTAGACTTTTCGAAAGCATTTGATACTCTTGACCACTACTTATTGTGCACTAAACTAAACTATTATGGTTTTGATGATACTTCCTTGAGATTCTTTAAATTTTACTTAAGTAATCGACATCAAAAAGTAGTTCTAGATAATTGTTCATCAAATTTTTCATGTTCAACCTCTGGAGTCCCTCAAGGCTCTGTACTGGGTCCCTTAATTTTTCTAATTTACACTGGCGACATAAATTCAGTTGTTAATTACGGTAAAATTCAAACTTTTGCCGATGACACTCAACTATACTGCTCATTTCATTTAAAAAACTTCACTAGTGTTTCTGACTACATAAACAGAGACTTAAACGAAGTGGCCAAGTATTCTTAAGCTCACAATCTAAAACTAAATAGTAATAAGTACTCTGCAATGTTCTTTTATTCAAAAACTGCCAATGCAAGTTGCTTAAAAAATATCAAACTGGTCATGGAAAACCAAACTTTGAAAGTTATTAGTAGCACCAAAAGTCTTGGAATTATCTTTGATTGCAAGTTACGTTTTGAGCATTGTTGGTAAAGAAATCTTATTTAGTTCTTCGTTCCTACGGAAACTTCTTTGTGAGAGGTTAGTTTTATCGATCTTAAATTATGGCTTTGTTTTATTTTTTCCTTGTTTAGATCAATTTAAGAAATATAGGTTACAAAAAATCCAAAACTTATGTTGCAGATTTATTTTTGGGTTAGAAAAGTACGATAGAGTTTCGTCTAAATAAAACAATGAGAATGGCTCAAAACAGAAAATTTCTTTAAATCACAAATGTCTGCTTTAATTTTTCGCATTTTGTCGACTTCTCAACCTGCGTATTTAAAGGACAAATTACTATATCGAGGAGATGTACATACTGTAAACTTAAGATATCCAAACACTCTAACACTACCCATATTCAATCTTACCATGTTTTACTTACAATGCTGTAAACATTTATAATACTGTTCCATTGGAAATAAGGACGCATTCTTAGAAACATCTTAAAAATGCCTAAAATTTATTTTATTGACTAATCAATATTTTTAGTACCATTTCTTAAATTCATTTTTAATATTTCTTTTTATTAAATTGCTTTTGTTATATATGAAATCAATATTTAGGTTTTCTAAATATTATTTTGTTTTTAAACAAATTACTTACTGTTTAGAGGTTAAGTGGAGTAGCTTAGCTAGTCTTCGGCTCTATAAATTTTTATATATTTATATTACAATGCAAAATAAAGGCACTTTATTTTATTATTATTATTATTATTATTATTATTATTATTATCTGACGATTATGGCCAAATCTAGAGAATATTTTTTGGCATATTAATCAATGTACCTTTTTATTGCAACATTGATTATTAAAATTTAAATTAATGGACTTGATAAATTTTGTCAGAACTGCATGTGATCTGTGTAATAAAGTGATTCATTAGGAATTGAGATTTTACAAGCGTTCTGCATTAAATTGTATATCTAGCATTATGCTACTAAAACAGGGTAAACATTTAATATTTTTAGGTCATAGAAATTCAAGTTTCTTGACATAAAAAACGTCATTCATGATGGGTGGCAACCGCCCATTCTTCGAAAACCGTTGGCCTTATATATAATTTCTTTTAGGTTTTATATCATCCAATTATTTAAATTTATATTCTTTTTTGCCAGATTGACGAAGATGGTAACGTCATACCTGAAGAATATACAAAATTCCTTAAAGAAAAACTATCCTCAGCTAAGTACCTAGAACCAGTTCAAGATGAAATTATTACAGGCTGTTTGGAAGACATACAAAACGTAATGGATAACAACAAATCAACAGGAAAATGTAAACCGTCAGGCATATCTTCTGAATTCTGCCTCTTCAAACAAATTATACTTAATTGTCCTGATGATCAAATGAAGGATAAGGATGTTTGTAAAAAAATGCAGGAAAGACTCAAACAAGGAAAGGATTTTTTCCCACCCCCACCAAATCATTAGAAAATCTTACTTTTATAACGAATTTTGTGTATTCATTTGACTCTTAAGCATCTAATATTATTGAATTTTATTTAAAGACTACAGAAATACATACATTTCAATAAACTTTCATGTTAGATACGTATTTATTTTTTTTATCAATGCTGATAGGTACACAATAACACACACTTTCGATAAAGTTGGGGAGCTTATTGCTAAGTGGACAGAAAGATATCTGCATAAAACGGAAAAGTTAATCAATAGCACAACTATGATTGTGTATAGAATACCGAAAACAACTTTTAAATACCTAGATAGAATAATTAATAACAACGAAAGCATTTAGGCCGACATTGTAAACATGTTATCGAATTTTAATTCCGGACTTGTTATTAAATACAATTTTCACTAGTTATAAAATTATTTTATTATAACTAATAAAAAAAAGAAAGAAAGTTTAGTAAGCTCAGTCAGGAGGGGTCCGGTTATAATGCAAATAAAATGTCAGGCTATATGGAGTATTCGGTTCCTTTCATTCTATTTTCATTATTAGACGTTAAATCATGCCTCGTGAATATTGTGAGGTTAGAATCAGACATATACAAAAAAATAAGATCTTCGTGTAATTTTTACCAAGACAATTCCAATTATGATTAGGGTAGTTACCCCTTAAGTACGTACTCTTGGTTCACAGGTAAGTATTTGAAATATATCTAGTACAAATTAAATTAACCTATAAAACTAATTTATATAAAGAAAAGATACCCGCTATGAGGGCCACACCCTGCTATAAAATCGATAAAATATATTTACGAGAGATTAGTAGGCTATTAACATTTAAGTAATCCCTATATTCCTTATTTAATTAATTTACTGGTAACTATGTTTTTTCTTCCAGGATCATCTAGATATAAAATACGTGGGTAGGAATCGGACAATGGGTGCTGTAGCGATGTTATCAAGTGATTTATACAATCTATCTAATCCCAAATCACAGTATCCCTAATTTTTAGGTTTATCCCATATTTAACAAATTAGACAAGAATAAATAATCTCCAAATAATATATGTGGGTTCTAAATTGACTTGTAGAATCCTTTTCAAAAAAGTAGATACAGTACCTTCTGTAGCCTAGCAAGTCATGTTAGAGAGTGCCCAAATCAACCCTAAAAAAATGGTTAAGAGCCCGAGTTCAAGTTGTCTTTAAAAACATTGAACAAAGGTGTCTATCTCTTTCTATTTCTAAACAATAACTAGTATATGCCCATTGTCTATCCTTGTTTAATAAGTTCTAACTGTACTTTAGTTCACCCAGAACCACATCTTGTCAATCTGGTGGATTGAATGCATGGAGTTATAAGGTAGGGAAGCGGAGTATCTTTTTCCGACATTCAAAACGGTATTACTAGGCGTGGATGTTGTCAGCCCAATATGGCCGATCCGCCTGATACGGACTTTTCAGAATGAAACCCAAATCTACATTTTTTTTTTTTAGAACATGTTAGCAATAATTAATTATTATAAAGTGGACGATTAGGGTCATAAAAACTAATTTTTAGCAATTACACCGAGAATTCCACTTATTGACAAAATAAGTTTCATGAAAGAAAAAATGTACAAGTGGAAGATAGTATTTTATAGAATAATAAAGTCCAGAAATTTCATTTAATATATCGTGGTTCAACACAACTGTCATTTTAGAAAAAAAAAATAGTGCTAGTGTAATTCAAACAGAGTTAACGGAAATTCTGATAGCAGCAAAAGAAATAACCAGAAAGAATATCAATGGAATGAATATGCTCATCTATACAGATAGCAAACAAGCACTAATCACCCTAAACAGACCACGAAATTATTCAGGATTAGTACTAGAATGTCACGAAGCATTGGCCGAAGTATCCATCAACAATGTGGATTAAGGTCACGCCACATCGAAAGGTAACCGTCTTGCTGATTCACTAGCCAAGAAAGCAGCAAACCAAATACTTTTTGGACCTGGCCCTTCTATTGGCTTGATAAACTCGGTAGTGACAGACCTAATCAAAGAACATTCCCTTGTGAAATTCAAGGAAAGATGGGCAGAAACAAGAAAATTCAGAATTGCCAGTGAGCTCTTAAGTTATCCTGACAACACTGCAGCAAACAAATACTTGACTATGACTAGACAGAATGTGCGCCTAGTCACAGGCATTCTGACTGGTCATTGCCAAGTACGAAAGCATCTCAATATCATGGGGCTATCAGAATCCGCACTCTACAGAGGGTGCGAACAAGAAGATAAGACCATTGATCATATCCTTTACGATTACTCGACGCTCTCATTTATTAGAAGATTTGTGTTCGGTAAGTATCGGCTAACACCGGCCGATATAAGAAAAGCACCTCTTGGCGACGTTGTCGACATTAAATCTGTAGGCTGGCTCACCAGCTAGGACGTGCCTCTCATCCCAGGAGGATGTACAATGGGCCTAATGAGGCCTAAGTGCTCTGGGATAACCCACCCTCCACACGTTACAGATACAGAAGCAACCAATGTTTCAACTTTTAATATGTACAATTATTTAGTTTGCAAACGATATAAAAATAGAAAAAAACTTTGATTGAAACCACGATTTGCTGTTTGAAGGATTCGTGAACGCAATATGGCGAAAGTGAACCCGTCTCCCTGCAATGTTGGCACATGTTAAAAGAAACATCCTGTATAAAACAGGAGAGACTAGCCGCAAGATTAATGTGCATGCACGTTCTTTTAATCGTTCTCGTGATTAACCAAATTGACCTGTCCGAAAAAAATTTTACGTCACATCTCGAATAATTATAACGTCGTAAAAAATACAGATCTACCTATATAAAAAATGGGCATCAAAAAATAAACTCGAATTTTTCGAATATTTTTTTGGTACTCATCCAATAAAGTCATAAATGCCTCTGTACACATATAGGTACCTATAGTAATAATAACAATCATCATCAAAACAAGAGTTTTGATTACCCCGCTCTACCCTACGTTATCCATATTGATTTCGGGTTTTTCATAACCTTACAAATTCTTGCAATGAACAAATCTTTAGCCGATTTCGTTTCGGTTCAGTCCAGTGTTGCCAGGTATACCATTTTTATGGTATTTATACCATTTTTTCTACTACGATACCAGCAAGTTTTTGAGGATACCATTTTCCATTTTTTTACCATTTTTTAGGTACTGTTACCATTTTACTATCATATTTTTAACTTTTTGATTTTCATTTCATTCATTATATCTCTAATCTACTAACAAGTAACAAGAATGGTCTCACATCTCTACTAAAATACGCCCAATAATAGACGATTACAAAAATGTATCTTTTATCGGGGAATTCAAAAATGAAAAGAAAAATATGTGGTCTATTTAAAAAAATATCGATAAAGTTGTAGCGAAAGATGTGCAGTTGAAAATAAAAAAAATTGACAAGTGAGAGGATTTTATTAAAATACTTCCTATAAGACAGAAAATTATCGAATTTATTCCGACCTATACGCCCTCATTGTATAATATATGTTCCTATAGATTACAGTTATAAATTACTAAAAGATTTGTATATACAATTTTATGAGGACACTCGAATTCCCGTCAAGTACAATTTTAACCATTATCCGTTCCAAGAATTCCCGACAAGCAGTTGAAGCTTGAGATAATCCACTACTCGAGTTCCCGTAAGGGACGAATTTAATTAGGTAGGTAGGTACTTACCTCAGGTGCCCGATGCGGTCAGCAATTAAAAGGATTAATATATTTATTTACTTTTATTTATTTATTTATTTAATAGCTTGATAAATAACATTTAAAACGATTATTAAGATGAGGCCTCAATAGGTATATATTTAGGATTTTTCGCAATATTGTTCATTATTACTTTAGTGTCTCTTTGTGATTTTTATTAATATGGATCTTCATGTTATAACAAGTGAAAAAGGAAAACCTTTAATTTTGTTAGAAAATTATAAGTTTTACAAATATCGTATTTTAAAAAGTACAGATGAAACCTGTTGGTGTTGTGTCACGAAAACTTGTCGTGCAAAATTATACACACTAGGAGATGAAAAAAATTTAATTTTTTCAAAGAAAAGTGGTGACCATGAGCATGAAATGTTAGATCAAGGTGTATTAAACAGACAAAAAGTGAGTAACCAAGTAAAGCGAAAAGCCGAAGACTGGATGTGCGACAGACCTGCCAAAATTATCCACAGGGAAATAAACTCTCAAAAACAGTGTTTGGATACTCTTACAAGTAAAGACATGAAATACATTCGAAATAATTTTGGAAGAGAAAAACGTAAATTATTCCCCAAATTGCCAAAATCTTCTGCAGACATTCAAATTACTTTGAATTTATTAGATATAAAAACAATTAGGAACGAACAATTTTTATTGGTCAACGATCCCACCGAAGAAATAATTGTTTTTTCTTGTAAGAGCAACATAGAATTTATGTGTGCTCAAACAAAATTTTATATGGATGGAACTTTCGATAATTGTCCAAAATATTTTTTTCAATTATTTTGTTTGCATGTATATGTAAATGATACATATTGTTTATTAAAGAACAAAATGAGATCAACTTATGTGAAATTGCTTCAAATTTTAATTGATCAATGTAGCGAATTTGGATTCGTTTGGCGCCCCGACACCATAGTCATTGATTTCGAAAAAGGAATACATTCTGCTGTTACAACCATTTTTCCACACACCAAAATTATAGGGTGTAGATTCCATTTGGCACAAGCTTGGTAAGAACACATTTATTTCAATCTCTAGTGTAATAATTGTTTTTTAAATATCCATTTTTACTTTTCCACAATTATACGAGGCCTCAATTATACATAGGTATACAATGTGTCCCAAAAAGTTTTATACAAATGGGAAAAAAGTTTATCTTACATTTCATAAAAAAATTATTCTTTATGAAAATCTCTGCATGTTCTAAAATCTAAAATACAACCATCAAATATTAACATTTTTTCAGTCGTATACACGGTATGGTAGGTATCTTGATTTTTGAAGTTGTAAAAAAAATTTTTTAGAATTAAATTTAAAGTTAAAGTAAACATTTAAAAAATCAAATAAAATAAAACTGAATTTATATATAAACAATTTTACGTATA